GGAGGAGATCAAACACCTATCTACATCAATTGGACTGCAGTGGAGAGGGTCAGCAGTTTTAAGTTCCTGGGAGTTAACATCACAGAGGACTTAACCTGGACCCACCACACCAACACTGTGGTCAAAACAGCACGGCAGTGCCTATTCTTTCTCCGTAGGCTAAAGACGTTTGGCATGCCATCACATATCCAGGCTAACTTCTACAGGTGCACTATTGAGAGCATCCTGACTGGTTGCAGCACTGCCTGGTATGGGAACTGCTCTGCCCAGGATCGCAAAGTACTGCAGAGGGTCGTAAAGTCAGAGCAGTTCATTACTGGCTGTGAGCTACCAAACATCCAGGATATCTACTCAGCTAGATGTCTGAAGAAGGCCAGGTCCATTCTCAAGGACCCCAGTCATCCCAGTCATATACTGTTTTCCCTCCTACCACCTCCTACCAAATGGTACCAAAGCATTCGGTCCAAGTCCAACAGACTACGGAACAGCTTCTACCTCCAGGCAATAAGACTGCTAAATTGCCAACCTGCAGCTCCTTTAGCATATCACCTGTAATGGCTACATGGACACACAGTTTTCACTGTATTCAGCATAACTGCACTACTTGTATGTGTACAGCATACACATGGACACATAGCAGCTTTACTCATATTGAGGTTTATTCAATTTCTATTACACCTATTATTATGTAACCTCAATTTTGTGATTTTTGTGTTTTTGTGATCCTTGTGAGCTCACAGAAAAGACATTTCATTGCCAGCAACTACTGCTGCACGCTGTATTGTTGTGCATTTGATAAATAAACTGTGATTTGATTTTGATTTGATTTAAAGACTTAAGGTCAAGTTGCCAAATACATTTTTCAGAGAAAAAGGTACTCTTAATTCTTGATTTCAAGATTTTTATAACTTAATTTCTTTACATCAAAACATCACAGCAAACAATATTTTCCCCCAAATGCTTACGTTGCTTAAGGAAGATCATTGATAAGTTGCAAAACAAAATGATTATAAGTGCAAATAATAAACACCTATTAACAGGTCATTAAAAAACATTTTTCTATTGCATAATTAGTATATGTCTAAAATTAACCTCTGATTATAAAGTTTCATATTAATACTCAGGAAAGGTAAAGTGAGGAGCAACCAATGTAAGAAATGCTAAACACCATAAATATCCGGTCTTACAATTGTTTTATCCCTGTATACTGTATCTTGGGTCATCAAAGCTGGTTTCTTTATGAAGAGCAAAAGGGCATGCTTTTCTTTCAATTAACAGACTATGGTTAAGAAGCTACAACATATTTCTATTTTGTTCTTCTTATTCTTTTCTCAATAAATTGAAATTTTCATTCTGTAAACACTAAAGAATAATCTTTAACAAATGACACCCTTAAAACCAAAATCCTTCAAATATTTTAGGCTGTTTTTGGTGTTCTGGGTAAGTGAATTGTGGCAAATATTCAAATTCTGATTAGCATATATATTATTATTTAACATATCACAAATGCTAGTACAAGTGCCAACACACACTAGCACATGTAAAACACATGTTGCCACCACATGAATCACTCACTGTCTTTTATAAAGTGTAATTAAAGTTTGATTTAAAGTGTAAACAAGATCCATGTGTACTTTATAGTTTTAACAAACAGAAATGTCACCACTTATAGGCACTGGATTGATCAACAGCATGCCTGTCAAAATAATCACATTTTTGAATGCACATTTTGAATACTTTGTTAATATGCTGAAAATAAATTATTTAAATTCACTTTGTTAATATTATTAGGGTTTGCAGTATCAAGAAGTCTACAAGAAGGGTCTATACACAGGAGAGCAAGTACTATTTGCCATAAGGGGAACAAAGACAGAAAGCTGTCCAAACATCTGTGACAAAGGTTTTCAACTTCCGCAGGTACTCTAGTGATGATGGTACTTTGGTGATTAGTACAGTACCAGAAATTTACAGATAGTCTACCACCAGGAAGAGGACAAGAAAATCACAAAAGTTAAGAGGCGAGGCTAAGTCTGAGTCCATGGGCAACGATAAAGATTACTTACTAATGATCACAATGTTCAGGAAATTTTGGCAACATCAGGACACAATGTCGGCATGTCCATTCGATATTAACCTCATGAATCATGTGTCCATAATGCAGTTCAGAGGAACATTAAAAAATGTAGCCATTCATTGACTCCAAGCAGATTGTGAGATTTCTGGGCATTCTAACAAGTAGTGTGCTTGGTACAGAATAGAGAATCAAAAGTTGAGATCTGTCATCCATCTTTTAGAGACAGATCCATTTTGCTCTAGGAATTTATGCAGCATTTGGTTGTTCTGCCATTCTTGTTCAAGCTGAGAAATGATGTGGATTCCAAAGTTTATCCGGTTATATCAGAGAAAAGAAAATATTTGGTCATTACAGTCTCACATAGCTAACATATGGTATGAACTGAAAAGGGCAGATCACAAATACAAGCACCTCACCCTGAAGGCAAGAGGTCAAAAATGCTCTACGCTGGGAGAGTAGTCAAACATTCCTCTTGAAAAGAGTTTGAACCTATAAATTTGGAAGCAACTACAGCAGATTATCAAAGTCAAAGGAAGATCCATTATACTTTTTTCCATTATTGAATTTTTTAAACTATTTAAACAGGTTCAGTCTTTTTGGTGAATGTTACTGACATAAATAATATAAATAACCATCCATTCATTTTCTAAACCACTTTATCCAGTGCAGCATCACAGGATTAATAATCATCTTTTTTATACACGTAAGGTTACAAATGAGAGAAGGCAATTTGGCCCATCTGGCTTCCTTAGTTGCTAGTAGCTAATTTGTCAAGAGAGTCTCATCCAGCTGTTTCTTGAAAGACGTAAGGCAATCCGTTTTGTTCCGAAAACTAAGTACTTGTTTTTTGTAAAACAGTGCCTTTTTCTTAGTTTTAAATAGACATCCCTTTGAGGACTTTGAATATGTGAATCAGCTCCTCTCACAGTCTTCTGACATGAGCACTTTGTTTGAAGAGCAGTGGTCCCAATACAGAGCACTGTGGCACTTCACTAAGTGTTACTGTAATTTCTGGGTCACCCCTTATTTATACTGTTTTTTATCCATTGTCCTCATTTTCATTCAACAAATTCAAATATATTGATCACCTTTAATGTCTACAGCCACCCCCCTTCAATTTAAAAATTAGTCTTTTGAGGAATTTTATCAAAAGTCGTTTTAAAAATAAACATATCATTACACTTACTGTTTTATACATTAGTTCTTGTTGAAAAACTTAGTTTACCAAGACCTCCCTTTTTTAAAAATCATGTTGATTATCACTTATAATCCTAGCACCCGTACTGCAATGCAGGTGATACCAGAAAGCTTAATATACACCTGCATTGTGGTTGCTGAATAACCTGTTACAATTTTATACTTTTGGAGGAAACTGAACATGTATAAATTTATCATCCTATATAATTTGTTTTAATTATTTTCTGAAGTTTAGGATTTTGTTAACTAAATACTCACACTTTCTAAGGATATGAAGCTGGAATTCTGGGTCTCTCTTAAAAACAAAGTGCATAAATTCTGAGAGATAAAAAGAGATTGAGCAGCAATTCAATAATTTCTCTGCTAAAACAAAAACATTTAAAAAGAGCATTTTAAAGCAAGAATCCCACACGCAGACAGTACCTACTACGTAACCAGACTGACTTGCACAAAGTAAAACTTTCTTTGCTGCTGCCTCTTCTCCCATTCACATTTGATGTGGCTTATGTAAAGTTAAATTCTTCATGTTTTTTGACAAAAGTATTGCCAGCTTTGCCTAAAATACAGTACGAGTTTAGGTATCCCAGAGGACTACAAGTTAACATGAAAACCATAAAGAGGTCTAGTGTTTGTTCACTGCACTCATCAACGAATCTGTAAAACATACCTGGTGATGATTTTCCTGTTGACATCTGTGAGTCTTGTCTTTCAACCTGGGGCTTTTTGTTTCAATCACGGCACTGCCACCCTCTGGCTAATGAGTTGCAGACACACCTGAGACACTAAAAACAGGCAATGATTTAAATTTGCTAGCAAAGACAACTTTGCATAATTTTATCTAAACTGATTATGTTCTTTGACGTGAATTTTTAATTAATTAAATTAATTCCCTTAATCGCTACTGTAATTTGAAGAAGTCCAATTCAAGTTTTTAAAAAAAGTGATCAAAAGATGAAAAAAAAATCTTTTAATAGACCTGCTTGCACATTACCTCAAAGCTACATTTGCTGCAGACATGAATCATTTGTTGCCACAGGTTCCTCTTAGCTCTGGAACACTAAAACATCTAGCTTCCAGACAGCCACGTCCCCCTCATCTCACCTGTTTGTGTACTTGTGAAGTTTTGCAGTAGGCAAGTTAAGGCGTCAAAGTTAGTCATATTGAAACTTCGAGAAATTTAGCGAAGCAAACAAAGCCACGGACGCGGGAGAGTGAAAGAAAAAGGAATGCACCCACCCGTGAAAACGCATTCGCACAGGTATAGATTACAACTTTATCTAGTTGAGTACCTACCCTTCTAACCCCGCAGGAAACAATAGACAAATTCAAAGCCCAGCCGGGCAGATTCCTTTCCGAGCCGACCTCTGCCAGCCGTTATGCATTTATCAGACTGAAGACGCGATTGCAAAGACAAATGCAATGATCTTTATCACGAATCTTCACTCTGCAGAAATCTTGCTCTGGGTCTTTTATTATCTGGATCAAGCATTGCCGCTATCGTTTGCAAATATATATACAGTATATACTGTAAACACACACCTCTTTTATTCACTCGCAGTTCTACGAGGAAATGGCTAAAATACACACTTCCCCGTTTAGAAGAGAAATGAATGAAGTAGAGGTAATCTCCGATGTGCAGCGTGCTGGCGCTGCTCAACGAACACAAAGCAAAAGCACAACAGATCAGACTGGGAAGTGCCTCCTTTTGAAAATGCAGACTACACAACATGAATATTTTATTCACTGCACCTTCCTCTCGCGTTTAGTTCTGCTAGGCGGTAAACCAAACGGACGGTAAGCCTGATCATTTCAAACCCATCGCCAGTTTTAAAGGCAAATAACATCTTTAAAACCGTAAACTTGACGACTGTAGGGAAACAGGATAATTACAAGACCTTTTCGTTGTTCGGTAATAAAGGGTAACGAGGTTTAATTTGTTTTAATCTATAAATACACTGTCGCGATTAAAGGTTCGCATGCCCTTTCCGTACAATTTAAGTTAATAAAATTGATATTAATTTCATTATATAATACTCTGGTACATACTTTACATTGATGTATGTTAATACTAAAGTGAAAAATACATAGCGACTGAAGATGATGACCACACGTCCCATTCTGAGCAGCGTTTCCCTTGACTCCTCTCATGTGTTTTTCTTTATACCACACAATACTATGATATTCGATGGCCATCTATTTTGTTTGAAGTGTGATACCATCCAGATGTAAATTTCAGTTGTAAGTTTTTGAAATCAGATTTTTATATCAGTAATTCAGCTGCCTATTAATCACTGTTTCCATGGAAGATTTCTGTCCTTGCTATAAGGTCAGCAGTCTGTCTTTTTGACAGATTTATCTTTATTCACAATGCCTTATCAAAGTATCTATCTTATTGAAAAAAGTGCAGGTTTATTTAAATTGCTTTGTATGCCAAAATCAAACTGACATGCATGTTTACACTACCAGTTTTTTAATACTATGCTTTAGAGCAAATATGTAAAAATAAGTTAAAGCCCAGCAGCTGTTCTATCAATATTACAAGCAATTAGAATGAAAATACCATTACATACCATTACATACTGGACATACTGTGTCCAAATGTACAAATGTTTTTTAACATAAGCTAAATTATGTTAAAAATATACACCATCAGAAGTTAACATACAATATATGTATATGTTTCAAGCATCAACAATATGCTATAAAGCTACCACAAGTCATATTTTGTTAATATTGATTGTTAATAATACAGATTAGTTTGGGTGAGAAGAACCCAAGCTTGGCATTTAGCCATTTTGAATTCACATTGATCAGTACATTCAAATACTTGATCACAACAACTCAAGGTAAACTGTGCATGAGCAGTCAATATAAAGTGTTGTAGCAGCTAATCCATCACATTTACTAATTAAATCTAATTGATCCAGTGTCAGGTGTTCTTTGTCATTAACATCATTTGTTTCTTTCTGCACACCCATAAAGCAAAAAGGCAAAGTATGTACTAGACAATACAGAATGTTTCATGAATAACTGTTTTTGTTTAAAACAAAATTTCAGTAGCAAGTTGCCATAGAATTGCTTCTGCATAAAAGGGTAAAAACTGTTTTAAAACAATAATGCAATACTTTTGAACATACTGTATATATATATATTAGTCATACTTTAAAGATCAATGATTGCCTTTGAAAGATAAAGATAAATAAATGTCCTATATTAAAAATAAAAGCATATTGAATTAAAACAGATATACTTGTTTTACTTATCTTTAAAGATATCTTTAAAGGTCTTTTCAACTATCATTACCCAAAATGATCATAGTAAACAGTATAGACAGAACATGGATGCCCCAGTCTTTGTGTGCAAATAATGAAGTTTCAATTACAGATATACTGTATATGATGCATCTGCCTTTGGAATATGTGAACCGATTATGTGAGTATGCATGGCTTGGGCATTGCTATTTGGAAAAACAAGAATGTAAAGCATATTAAATCAAAAGCAAACTTAACATTTCTTTTTGGTGGATTTAGAGATCAGTCATGTCAAGGATGCCTAGAGTGACATGGGAGGAATGGAAAAAAAATTGTCTTTTTGACTGTGTTAAAGTGTACTTATCACACTATTTGACGAGCATTCATCAAAAAAAGTAATCTTCATTTGGATCAGACTTGAACTCTCTTTCCCAGGTTGGAGCGGAGGGATTAGGATCTTATGGTACAGTACAGCTTTTCTGGCATCGTAAAGCATCTCTTCATCTCTTTTGAAGACAGGTTAATGGACAGACCATCTAACTGATGTTTTTATTGTGACTGTGGAGCCATGTTTCAAGTCTCACTACTTTCAACATAACAACCCACTTCAGAAAATCCTGCATGATTTCTGCAGAGCAACAATCCTTCCACCATCCCAGTACACACATTCACATACAAAAATGTATTTAGATTGAGTTCTGCTGGTCCCTCTAGAACTCCAAAGTAATTCTTCACATTGTTTTCAGGAAATGTAATGATTTTAGACATAAAATCATACTCCAAGTGCCCTGTAGATCTTTTTTGCTGTAATCATGTAGGCAGCAAACTGCAGTCAGTTTGATGACACACTATGCTATGCATGAAAAATAGAAAAGTCTTAGGCATTGTCTGAAATACTCATCCTACTAAAGGAATATTACCACAGGATTTGAACATATTTTATTTCTCTTAAATGTTTTTATTTTCTTTTAAAATTATCCTCAGTCAACTTGAATGAGTTGGTGAACATTTTTATAATACATCTGTGCTACCACAAGCAAAATATTTATCTAAAATGCGATGGTACAGTTTTACAATCCACAAGCGGTATTTCTAATTTTGCTTGAAATATTATGTTGAAATACAAGTGTCCTTGTAAGGTTTAAAAAAACATATTTAAAATATTACCAACCTGTTACAGTCTCTTAAAAAGTATTAAAGTGTCACTACATTTAAAATAAAGTATCACTACATGAAATTGCATTAAAAAGACAGTAAAGTAGAATGTTGCCATCTAACATAGGCAACTTCATATTCTACGGTAATGTTATTCAGATGAAAGTATTCAATACTGAACTGTAGACATTAAAGACTTACTGCTGTTCAAAGAAGATGAATACTACTCTGTCACATGAAGAATCAAAGGCGGTGTGGATGGTATTTTGTCACCAGGGGTAGCTGTCTAAAGCCTTTTTATTGATCTTTCCCCTGTTAACTCCTTCCTTTATCTTAACTTTGTTCTGCTTTCCCCAAAGACTTGGAGTAACAATCAAACAAATCCTCCTATACACTCAACAGTGCTATCTCTTCACAAAAAGTGCTTTGTGTAAGGAGGATTACATAGAGGAAGAAAAAGTCATTTTTCAATAATACAGAGAAATGCCTTAGATATTCATGTTGACTTTTGAGAATTCTAAAAATTGGAAAAAATATTATTTCATTTGACAAACATGTCAACAGAGTAAAGAATAAACAAATAGACAAGGAAATCACTCAGTACATTTACTGCAGAAAAGAACAAAATGAGAATGAGGTTTTGCCAATTATATAAAACAGATTTTATGTCTTTTTTCTGATGAAACATATTTTAATTATACACAGTTCAGAATAATTCCCATGATGACTAGCACTGTATATAATTAGATATTATATTCTATTTGCATTTGCTAAGAGTAAGATTAATCTATTATGAAACATATCTAGCTTTTCATATATTTTCTAAACTCTTTTAATCTCAGGGCACATACAAACATAAACATGTGCACACTCACACCAGGGCCAATTTTTTAACCAGCCAGTATTTTATTGGACTGTGGGAAGAAGCAAGACCACCTGGAGGAAACCCATGGGATGACAGGGAGAACATACAAAGTCCATGTACTGTAGATAGGATGCCAGGTCAAGAACTGAAGTCAGGGCTCCAGTGCTTAGCGGTACCACCGCACCACCATGCCATGTAGACTATTGGGAAAAAAAATTAATGTAAGTAAAGCAGGCATACACTTTGAGAATTGTCCCTAGGATATGGCAAAAGGATGCGGGTCACTTTGCCCATTTGCTAAAGCTTAAGAATGCAAGACTGTAAGAAAAGTGGCAAACAAGATAAATGCATTTGGCCTGCCTAGCTTGATTTGTTTGTATTAACTAATTGATAAAAGTACCAGCAACATGGCTGGATAGTGGCTCCTAGACTTCAATCATCCTGTTCTCAGTTTTTAACGCACTTCGCTTTGAGAGTTTTAATGCTTTAATCAGGTCCACTCACAGTTTTCAGTATTCAAGACACAAAAATAGTTATTGTCATGATCGTCATCCCTCCACTAGAGGGCGCTCCGACCCTTTTGTGTTAGGTTCATTATCACGTACACCTGTCCCTGGATTCACCGTATTTAAACCTGGTGCTCCAGAAGCTCGGAGCTCTGCATTGGAAGTCAGACGCCTGGAGGCCCCCCTAGCATCAAGTTGCCCTTCGTCCGTGGCTTGAGGGCTTAGGCTTTCTTTGGCGTCCTGACCTAGCTGAGTCCGGGGCTCGGAGCGCCTGGCCTCGTCATTCTGTTTTTAACCTCCTGTTCCTGTTCCGGATCCCGGTCCGGATTTTAACCCTGTCTCGTCTTGGATGGATCACCTGGTTTTTGGATTTTGGATTGCGCCTGGATTTCCTGTTTTGGACTTCCCTGTACTTGTTTTCCTGAGCTCCCTTGCACCTGATCACTGTAGGCATCACCCCCTGTTCGCCATCCCTTCCTTTCCTAACTGTGTTTTCCCTGTAGCTCTTTTCCAGTCACTTCCTGATTATACAGTCTGCACAGGGTCCTAAACTACACACTACACGGGAATCAGGACCAGCTCCCATTACAGTTATTTTAGTCTGTCAAAATAAGTCTCTTTCTTTTAAGCCTGAGAAAGTAGCTGCTTGTTCTGCTCTGAATTGATTATTTGAAACATTGTCACTTAAATTGGACACAACATTTTAAACGAGGTCTCACTAGTGCATTGTGCTATTTAACACATCCCTTGACTTAAATTCTACACTTTTAAGCATGGAGTGTATCATAACCATTCTGTTTGCCTTTTAATTACTTTCCCACAGTATCTAGAAGATGAAAATGATCTTCACATTCTTCCACATAAGCCTCTTCAGGCTTGGTGTTTCTGAAATTATTTTGATAGTTTAATTGCTATATATACTTTGGTATCATCAGTGCACTTGACTAGTTTACTAACTATACCAGAATATACAGCATTGATATAAGTAAGGAAGAGCTGTGTCCTAATATGTATTCC